AAATGTTGAAAATTTTAGCTTGATACCTTGAATATTTACCAAATTATCATAAAATAAAATTGACATTATATGATCACCATTTAGTTTCATGACGTCATTGTTTTTCGATGTCCGCATTCTCTACCTCATACACTTATCTTAATGAGTTTCCTTGGAGTTAAGTAATATTAGTTACATACCTGGCGAGGCGAAGCCGAGCCAGGTATGGAATTTACTAACCAGGTATCATCCCGTACCCTGTCACTAAAAAACTATGTAACGATTTTACCCCACCGATAAAATATTTATGCATTGTCTGTGGTTTGTAAAATTGTTTTTCTCACTATATATATGTTTCATCACTCATAAAATGCCTATTATGACGTCACGTTGTGTGACGTTATGTCGTTTTGCGAGTGTTTCGTGCTGTGATAACGTACTGACAGTTTTGAAGACTTTCAGTAAAGGGAGAAAAAGGTTCCATCTTCGTTACCTACATTAGTTAACTGTAACATTGTCAACAGACACTCGGCAAATCGCGTGAACTCGAGTTGTTCGAACGTTACAAAAGAACGATAACTCCGTATCGACCATGTATTGATTTTCAAGCGACTAGGTATAAGTAATACACCCCCTTCACGTGACAGACTTCAACCAATCGTAAGCCAGGATTTCATCGAAAAATCATCAGAGGTGGGGTAAAGATTTAAACCCGTCTTGTTTATATGACTTTACAATGTCATACACAGCTGATTTCAGTGCATATAATATAGCAAATTGATCTGAGAGATTCTCAGTCGATACGATATATCCTGGTGATCTTGAGATAAAAGATACCACAGAGTCTGACACATCTGTTTCATATTTGGATATTTTACTTGAAAAAGACGTTAATGGTAATCTAACAACCAAGCTTTATGATAAACGTGATGACTTTAACTTTTCAATCGTCAACTTCCCTTACTTATGCAGCAATATACCTTCATCACCTGCATACGGGGTATATATCTCTCAGTTGATTCGATACGCAAGAGCATGCTCTACGTATGTACAATTTCTAAAACGAGGTAAATTATTGACAAATAAGTTGATGAAACAAGAATATCAGCTGTCTCGTTTAAAGTCATCATTTCGTAAGTTCTATGGTCGATACAATGACCTTGTCAGCAAATACAATTTATCTTTGAGTCAAATGCTGACTGACGTTTTTCATACTAATTGTTAGGCCATTAGTTACACAATGAATTGTCGACGGATTTTTCCGCTATTTCCCGATCATGACAAGGAGCACAAGGCGGGTGTGACCGGTCGGCAGGGGATGCTCACTCCTCCATGGCACCTGATCCCACCTCTGATGTTTGGAGGTCCGTGTTTGCTCTGCTCCTATTTTGTATTGTATAATGGACTTTTGAGCTTGAATACTGTTCGTTATCTCCATATATTTCATTGATTATAACAGCATAGTTGATTGTCGGAGTTCAACATCTATCACACATGATCAACGCCACTTTTCGACGTGAAAAACTTTGAACACCCTTACTACAAATCGACATTCACTTTTACATCTCTCGTCTCTTTAATCTTTTTCGGCGTGTAAAAACAAGTACTCTGAATGCATTTTATTTTTCAGTAGCCCATTTAAATATTTCCTAGGTCTATGCCAGTTTTTCCAGGGGGTGAAACTTTATAGAATGTTGGAAAAAGAAACCCACCCACCCTTTCTGACGTCATTACAACCCCATAATTGTTTGAACATTTCATATACATTTTACGATAAAATTTCATAGAACTTACAGAATGGGGTAAAAATTACAAATTTTACGGTACAATTGTGTCATACCACATGAGTGAATTAACGGGATTTTTGAATGACGAATCTCTAAAAAAAAGAGTTTTTTCTAAGTTACACTTAGGTAGAAAAAACGTAATCTTCGAGGTTGCGCTGTCTGGACATACCATTGCTTTCAAAAACATCAACAATTTATTAAAAAATAAAACTAATGATGTATAGTTATTTATATATATAAAAACAATGATGCTAATTAAACGTTAAATAATTCATTGATGTATCTTAAGCGGTTTTAATTTTATGGCGCTAGTCCACGAACTTTCCGAACAACCCTCGTATTCCTTAAAATTTAATCAATTCAGTGTATTACATTACTTTTATTCCGTATGTTCCACTAGTACAGTTTGTCTGTATTATTGAAAAGTACACGTACTGCTTCTATTATCTGAGATAAATATATTTAGAAATTCATACATGAACTAATTCAATGTTCTAAATTCAGTTCTCAAGTTTTCGAACAGTAGGACTACATATCAGTATCTGCACTCCCTTGGATATCATTTATATAAGTTTTATACATTAATGGCATATTTTTATAATATTCACGGAAATGTGTTGTAAAATAAACACACATCCAAAAAAAAAAAAATCAAGACTATCTATAGTCAAATGAAAAGTAAAGAAAATAACAAATGAGCCGTTCCAAGCAACATCCCCCCCCCCCATGTAATTTTTTTTTTTCGAAAATTACTTTTTCTTCAAAAATAAAGTACACCTAGTGGTAAATGTAACCTGTAAATATTACAGGTGAGTCTTGCCTCGTTATGGATTTACAGATAATCAAAATATATGTTACTCGCCAAGCAAAACCTCCCTATAAGGACTTCTGGTCAAAATGTGGATTTTTGCATATCCTAGGAGAACATTAATTAAGCACTTTACCATGAAGTGAAATATATGATGTATTCTGCCCTGACGCCATTTTCTTCTAGCGACGTCGAACGAAATGCATTTATCATGACACCATAAATAAGAGAGTTGTCGAACTGTTATCCCTTCACAAAAAAAGGAAAAAAGCTTTTTAAAGTTTTATGCATGTACAATGTTAAAATTTTCAAATTTACCTCAGGGGGATGAATATTTTATTCAGAAGGGGGGGGGACATTTTTTATAAACAGATTTTTTTTATCATTCCCTCTCAAAATTTTTATTTCTAAGATGACCATAAGACAGATTATTTATTTTCTTCCCTGGAAGAAGATAAGCAAATAGAAAAAAAGGAAAATAGAAAACCAAACTCTAAAACTGATGACTGTGTTATGCGGTGTGCGTTTGGGAGGGGGAGGGGATCAAAGGCAAATTTAATGACATCACACACGTATTAAAATTATAAGTGTTAACATTATCAAATTTTAATTATTATCATTCATAAGTCTTTTGATGCCTTGAAATTTCACCATTCACTACTCACCATCAACAGGAGTACAGGTTGTGTCTTTCCATGGATCTTGAACGAATGGACGGATTCTTTGATACAGGTACTTCTGTCTCTCCTTTGTTAAACTACCGGGTTGGATGGACCTTGGACGAGCACTTGTATCGAAGAATTCTGGGTTGTATTTCAAGAGTTTAAAAGCAACCTTTTATCGTCTTTTGATTTCTGGCAAAGTATGAATCCGGGCCTGTCTTGCGTAAATCTGAAAATTTGATACCTGGTATTCCCTAATCCTTTAACAGGAGAGAAAATAGATGAAAAAAAGCCATCCAATCTAATCACATCCATGTTTCCTCCCCCTCAAAAAGAACTGCGTTGTTCAAATAGCAGGTTTTGTCTACGATGCCACGTAAATCTGCAATACTGTTGCAATCTGTTCTCCTATAGAGACGCTTGATGTGGGCTAAGTTTGAGTCAAACAGGCATATACCAAACAATAATGAAAAATGCGTTGAATAATGGTATGCATTTTTAATTTAAAAGTGAAGCGTACCTTGCATGACCTGGAACCTGCATCATAAAAGTAATTTGCTGCTGATGTTTATTGTTTATCTAAAACACTTACGTGAAATTGGTCCATCAGCATTCATTAATTTTCTTAGTTGAAAATGTAAAAAAAAAAAATGAGTGACTTACACATGCAGAAATGAAATATGCGTTTTCACGTCATTGATTTTAAAGGCAAATTTTGACGTAATTGAGCTGGGGGGGGGGGGGGGGTTGTTGGCGGGTCACACTTTGAAAAACATTTAGTATTGAAAAAATCCTGCAAATTAATGTGCGTAAATTATCGTGTGACCTTTTTACTCTACAAAATATCATATTTTGGGTACATGTATTAAAAATCTACACAGGCAATACGTTTTTCCCCCAAGCTTTTTATAACTTTAGTGCTGATCAGTTGAAAGTATCATGTAGTTTAAAAAATGAAAGAAAAAATTGGGGGCCATTGACGTAAATTTTGAGCCAATTATTAGCCAAAATATGCGATTTTCAGACAAATAAAAACATTGTAAATTTTCTGCTGCATGGATATGTAAAATTTGCTATAAAAATATTACTTAAAACGTATATTTAATATTCGCAGTAAATAATAACAAAAGAATTCTCTCAGTAAGGCCAACTTTAAAAACAATTGTTTGGTTGCCCTCTCCCGACCGACTGGCTCACAATGGCCCGACTCAAAATAGTTTCTTTCCACAAGGTACCTAACTCAACTTCAGACAACCCCCTTCCCCCCGTTCAAACTCGTATTTTATTAATTTATCAATCATTAACCTTCTTTAGCAGGACATAGATGGCTTACAAATTCTTTTTTTCTTTTCTACTGAATCGTTCCAGACTTCCTTTGTAGAGCCTCTAAAGTAATTGTAAACCACTCATTTCTCTCAACACATTTCAAGACGTTACAGAGGATACATTAACTTCCGGTTAGCAAGCGATAGCCGAGTGCTTTCAAGAATACTCGTCGACATCCTTAATATCTATAGTTTAAGGTATAAAGGATGTTGCTCGAGGGAAGAAATCCTACCTTAGTAGTACACTGGGTAATTTAAAGGCAGCACTGTGTAACAATGGAAAATTGAACGATAATTGCCATGTTTTTTTTAATGAAAATCGACCATTAAACGTGTATTTTAACAATAATTATAAAAATGTGTTTGAATTCCAAACTAATCTTAAGACGACTTAGTTTTCTTTTTTTACACATTCAACCTTGTCCTTTAATATTTTCAGTTTCAGATGTTGCCCGAGGGAAAAAATCCTACCTTAGTAGTACATTTGCTCATTTCAAGGCAGGACTGTGTAACAATGGAAAATTGAACGATTTTTGTCATAGCAGATTGACCACAAACCCATGGTATCGGATCGATCTGGGGACAACCTACAACATTGACGAAGTGATAATCTATAACAGGAGAGACTGTTGTGGTAAGTATAATCCTAAAAGACTCTGCAATCATTATCCATGTTGTATTTTTGTTTATTTTGTTTCAAGTGTAGTAAAGGTTTTTTGAAATGGAAAGCTCAAATATATATCATGAAGAAGAGATCGCCAAAAGATTTTTTTAAAGTGACAGAGACGAACAGCTTTCTGAAAGAAAGAAAAATCTGCAATGCATTGAACATGCCTGAGCATACAAACTTTTTTAATTTTCATCCTTGTCTGTTGTACTCTGTCTTTAATCAATTTAACAATTTTAGCTGCCGCTTTTAAATTGTGGAATACATTTTGCAAAATTGAATAGATTTAGGCAAAGGATGAAAATTTGACGGATTTTTTTTTCTTGGTTTTACTTGCATAAGACCAATATTGCAAGCCAATTTTTTCTAAGCGCCTCCACCACTCACAAATCTAGGGTTTATGTGAAGTAGAAAGAACAGAACAATTGCCTAGCAAAGATTGGATACACTGCGAAGCCAGGTTGGCTATTTCGGTCAAAGGGGGGAGTTAAATTGAAACTAATGGTCTTCAATACAACAAGAAATCAAACTGTTTATTAAAGAAGCAATATCTCCCTCAATCCCAGTTTTGAAATCTATTATATGAGAGATAGGAATGGAGGCCCAGGACCTTGCAACTGGCTGGGGCAACTTTGATCACATCAATCAATATTAATGTTTACGACTATAGACTAGACACACTAGCAGATGAGCTCTATTTTTATTAGGCAATTAATCCTCTGTCAAAGATAAAGAAAAAGGCATATGCTTCTGAAATAGGGTTTATGCTGATGGGGTGCTCAGTTTGAAAAATGTGCTCATTCTAGGAAAACACACTTGCTTATATCTGGGCTTGTGAAGGAAGACTTTAAGATTTTGTTGAACAAAATGCTTAAGACATTATTTAGAAGTGTAGGACAAGAGAGAGGATGCCCCCTCACCTTTTGACAAAAGTTTTTTTTTTTTTTTTTCATTAGTAATAGCCAGAAGTGCAAGCTTAGACCGAAGGACTTTTTTGCAAGTTAAATTAGTAAGAGACGTTTGATTTTTTCCCCCTCTTGCCCACAAAATTCTACTTACACAAAAAACATTAAATGCACATTCTTCCCAAATCGTCACTCTTTACCACAGTGAATGATCATTCATTATGTTTCATGACAGTTTTGGATTAAAGTATGATAACGGGGGTTTATGGGGGAAAAACTAAGTTAGCAAGTGAAGTTTGTATTTGATATAAAGACAGCTTCTACTTTTTAAATAATTTCACAAATTGTTTTTTTATGTATCTGTATATATAATCTTTTCTTTGCTTGAGTAGGTTCAGTTATGTTTACAAAAATTAAACCTATTAAACCTTCATGAGTGCAAGTTGTTATACTGGTATACACTGTTTGCTTTCTTTTGATACAGTTGATAAGTAGCTTTATCCTTCTGACATTATTTTTTTTTATACAATTCTGATTCTAGGGAAGCGTTTCCGTAATGCTGTGGTACAAATTGGTGACTCATTAAGTAGTTTGAAGACATGTGGCACTTTCAAAGGGCCCGGAAAAACTGGTCAAACGATAAGAATCAAATGTCCTGGCAGAATGAAAGGGCGCTGGGTTCAAATCCAACAGAAATATCGTGGCTACTTACATTTTGCCGATGTTCAAGTATCTGCAAGCAAGTCAATAAGCCAACCGACCAAAGCAGCCCAAGCGGTGGGTAAGTAAAGGATGTATTCACAATTTCAAAGGAATTGACCTATAGGAGAGAACAATTTCCCGGAAAAGTCACATCTAAAAATCAATGTTCATTGTTCTTTTCTATTTTTTTTTAATTATTCTTTATTTTTGTTTTACACATTCTGCTATTTCATACAATTTAAACATATGTTTAAAAGAATCTACAGAAGGTGTAGTTTTTTTATTTTAGAGAGAGAGAGAGAGGGGAGAGAAAAAGTTGGAGGAGAAAAAAGGGTTGCATGCATTCATGAAATATAAACACATATGTATCTGTAAGAGTCATTCAAATAATTGCTTCCAAGAGTTCCAGCAGGTGTCAAACATATCCTTTTCACCTTTATTATAAGCAATATATTTTTGTGTCTTCCCTGTGCACCTCATTGTGTAGATATAATATTTAAGCCATAGAAAAAGATTATTTGGTATCTTTTTTTTTTTCATCCAAGAACCACAAAATAAAATTATTTTTTGTTATTGATATTTGAAGATTAGTTTTATTTTCAAAGTAATCTTCAAATTCTCTTAAAAAATATTGTACACTATCACACTCCCAAAGCAAATGTTCAATTGTTTCTTCTTCCACCTGACAGAATGTACAATTCTTATTTTCTGTGATTTTAAATAAATATGAGTTTGAAGCTAAAATTCTGTTCAAAATTCGATACTGAAACCATTGCAGTTTACAATTATTTGTAACTTTAAAAGGCAGTTTAAAAATCATTTTCCATTCTTTGTCATTCAATTCAAATGTTTCATTCCACTTTCTTTTATCAGTAGGTTCTGTACTATTATGATTGAGAAGATTACAAAATTGCCCTGATTTTTTGCATTCTAGAAGGGTATATATATTTGACATAACCAGAGGGTTTTGTGAATTAGTAACATTTTCTTCAAAATTAACTTTTTTCATCCATGCCTTAAGAGCACTTATAACACTCATGTATTCTAAAAAAATTAATTTTCACTGGAGGATAAATATCACAAACAGATTCATAAGTCAGGAACAAACCTCTTCATTAATAAGATCATTAAGTTCTCTGATATTAGAGTGATACATGGATTTATTAAAAATTACTTTTCCCCCACAAGAATGTCAGGATTGTAAAATAGTGGAGTGTTTGCTGTTACTGTAGTTGGGTTTTGTTTATGATGTAGCTCAATCCATGAATCAAATACATCAACCTAAAATTTGTTTTTCAGTGATTTCTTTATATTTTTGATATATTCAATTCTGCACGTTGTAACTTTATTTAGATCTAGATTTGGTATAAAATCATGCAGGTCTCTATTTGACAATAAGAGTTTTCTCAAAATAATTTTAAAGAAGATATAAAAACCTTTACATTTATCATCTTTAATCCCCCATCTTCATATTTTTTAACAATTACATCCTTTTTTATTCTATGTTGAAAGTAGTTCCACAAGAAGGAAAAGAACAGTTTATCCAGTTCTTTATAAAAGTTGTCATCTGGATTTGGAATTGCCATAAAAATATGATTTAAAAGAGGCAAAACCAAAGTTTTGATAAAAGTAATTTTTCCTATTGGTGTTAACGAGGTTCGCTCCTGAGCTTTTGAGCAGATTTTTGTCTTAACCTATATTTAAAAAATTCTGCATAATGTTTTAGTTCTTACAATAAATTTGGATTCTACAATACCAATTAAACGATATTCAGTTAAAACTCCATGATTAAGTTCCGTACCAAAAGCATTAAGAGAGGAACTATATCTTGTGGCGGATGGATTTTTAGAAGAAAATGATCATTTTTCTCTTTCGAAGTATTTGAAATATGTTAAGTTTGGATTCCTATTTTTCCATGCAGCCTGCACACAGACTTATTCTGTGCCGTGAACTGTTTCATGCTGGTCCTAAATTATATATTAAATAAACTATCATGAATTTTATCATCATATTTAATAAATATAGCAAATATATTGCGAAAGTACAGAAAAAAAATAGCCCTAACTTTTGCTTAGAATTAGCACTATTTTAGTATTATCTAAAAATTAACATCACAGGCCCCAACTTTTTATTTTATTTTCTGAATATATAAGATATTTTTAACCATTCTACTTAAATTCAGTAAAATGTCATTACTTTCAAATGATTTTATTGCTTGTTAAAATTTTTAATGCCAGAAAAATGATATTTTTGAGTGCAAAAAGGTCAAATAATTAATCATGCGAAGTAATTTAAAAAAAAAATTTGTTGTCACAAATTTTAATGTATCTATTCAAAATGAAACAAGACTGTGTTTGTTCCCGTAATCTATTTGAATAAAAAAAATATTGGAAGGAAAACTTTAAAAATTCAATCATGTGTATGATGTATTTGCAGTGCAAAAAGGTCAAACTAAATGCCCTGTAGCGCCAAAAGAAGCGCATTGGCCCCCATTTTTTGTTTTCATTTTTAATTAAGCTACGTGTGTAGATTCTAAAAATATATTTGATAAAAAATTCTCATTACTTTTAACGACAGGATCCAACCTCCTTAAGTGTCTTTTCTCTCGTTGATGCAAGATTGATTTTATTCTACTTAACTTCGGCTGATAATTCAGTTTAGACATATTTTGAAGTTCTACATCAAAATTAATTCCAAGTAATGTGAATTTGTTAGTCCCCCACTTCAAATTAAAATCTCTAGAAAGGATATCTTGACTATATTTTTTAGATCCAATCCATACTGTAATAGTTTTCGAAAAATTAACTCTTAGTCCAGACATTTCAGAGAAATGTTGTAATACTTTAATTGTTTCTGAAAGTGATTCCTTGCTACCATCAAGGATAACTGAGGTATCATCAGCTAGTTGTGAAATTTTCTTTTCATTATTACATACAGTAATTCCTTTAATCCTTTTATTTTCTCTTATTTGTATAGCTAGAATTTCTGCACAAAGTAGAAAAATATACGGTGATAAAGGATCACCTTGTCTACAGCCTCTTTGGATATTGAAGGATGCTGAGAGGTTGCCACCTTGATTAATAGCTGAAGTAATGTTATGATAAAATAATTTTACCCATTTGTGAATGTCAGGTCCAAACTTAAAATAAGTTAATGTCTTTTGTATAAAATTCCATGAAACAGTATCAAAGGCTTTTTCAAAATCAATAAGTAATAGAAGACCAGGAATTTCTTCCTCTTCAGTATACTGCATTATATCATAAATTAGCCGAGTGTTTTCCCCTATATACCTGTTAGAAATAAAACCAGTTTGATCAGGATTGATAAGTTTATCCAAATAAGTCTTTAATCTATTTGCAATGGTACCAGAGGCTATTTTATATACATTATTTAAAAGTGTAATTGGACGCCAGTTTTTAATATATTGTCTTGGTTTTTCTCCTTTAGGTAAAAGGGTAATAATTCCATGTCTCTGTGTGATTGACAGACTATCATTTTCATAAGCATAATTAATTGACCTGATAACAAAAATTCCAAGATATCGCCAAAATACCTTAAAAAATTATGATGAGAACCCTTCAGAACCAGGTGATTTATTTGCATTCATTTTGCTAAGTGTTTTAGAAGCCTCCTGTAATGTAATTTTACCTTCTAATGACACACGTTCATTTAAAGATAACATGAGAATATCTTTGAAATTTAGCTCAGAATTTAAGTCATATTCATTTAACTCATTGTTAGGTGTAGAGTATAAGTTTTCATAAAATTGCTTTGTTTCATCCAAAATTTCAAACTGCTCTTGAGTTATCTGCCCATTGTCTTTAACAAGTTTGGGAATTATTTTACTAGTAAACTTTCTTGATTCTAAACTACAAAAATAATGAGATGGTTTTTCCCCTTCTTCCACCCATTTTGCTCTACTTCTTATATACATTCCCTGAAATTTGTATTTTCTAAGTTTTTCCAATTTTTGCTTTTTTCCATTGAGTTCCTCTACATTGTGCTCAGAAATATTTTCTTCTAATACCTTAATTTCTTCTAATAATTCTTTTTCTTCATTGACTTGTTTCTTTTTTTATATATGCAGAATATGAAATACTTTTCCCTCTTATTTCCATAAGTAGAGTTTCTAGAAATAACTGATCATCAATGGTAAAATATAGATTTTCATCTAGAATAGTATCAAGATTATCAAGGTCATACACAGGAAGTGCATATTGCTTTTTCACATTTGAAATAACATCTCTGATACAATCTAGGTATTGCTTATCACCAAGTAAAGAATTGTTAAATTTCCATAATCCGCTTCCCTTTTTAAAATCATTGAAAGTTAAAATCATTGATATCATGGAATGATCGGACCTGTAACTTGGTTCGACTGTACATGCATTAAGACAAGGTAGCAATGACTCAGACATTATAAAGAAATCTAACCTACTTTGTTTAAAAGGATTTTTTTCCTCCATGTGTACCTTCGAAGTGTTTCATGGAGTTGTCTAAAGGGATCTACATAACCACTGGCTATGCCAGCTGTGGATTTAACACTAAATTAAAATCTCCACACCATATGACACTGTAACAGTTCATTTCTTCAATGGATTGTTGAATATTTTCATAAAAAATTGGTGTATCAGTATTTGGGCCATATACTGTGCATAAAAGAACCTTGTGACCCTCTATACATATTTTTAGAATATGATAGTTTCCATCTTTATCACCCTTTTCCATGCATATTTTAAAATCAAAATTATTATTGAAAAGTATTGCCACCCCTCTTAAGTTCGAAATATAGGAACTAAAATAACATTGATATCCCCACATGTTTCTGACCTCATTTTCTACATCATTGGAGAAGTGTGTGTCTTGAAGACAATAAATATTATAATTTAGACTTCGTAAGTAGTTAAAAACATCTCTTCGCTTTGTGATATATCGCCTAAACCTTGACAATTAACAGATAATAATTTAATCCCCATCAAAATTTAAAGGCAGAAACTCTTGAAACCTGCTGGAAGATGATCCAAAACAGGTAATTTCATGCATGCATGTATATATAGAGAAGAAAGAGATAGCAAAGAA